AACAGTGATAGCCCACCTGATGCCTCCTCATACTTACGTTGCCACGGTGATGAGCAGCATATATATGGCTCTGAAGAGGACGTATGCGCTGTAACAGAGCCAGATGTTCCTCACAGTGTCCATAGCAAACACACACAAAGCCATCAGCAGGGAGAGGACACACAGAACCAGCTCCCCCCACAGAGACCAGGACACGGGCAAGTAGCCCACCAGCAGGGCCGCCAGAGCCCCTGAGGACCAGCAGGACACACACTACGGTTACAAATACTCAGCCTGAGGTTTACACTGCAGGGAGAGAAACCAGTGTTAAAGAGCATACTGGGTCCTTTCATGCTGACATGTTAGTTCATTCTATCCAACAGAGCACATCACCAAATTCAGAAAATGGCCGCAGATCCTTATTATTAAATCCCACTCACCCAGCAGTGTGGACAGGGTCTCTACGTAGCCGTTGTAGATTTCGTAGTCCTGGGATGGACGGATGTTCTCCCACAGTGCTTGAGCGTAGTTGATGACCTGGAAGTAGCCGCAGGTGGCCAGAGCCCACCACAGGGACCAGGCCAGCAGGGACCGGCACCTGTAGCACTTCAGGAAGTCATCAAACAGAACCTGTAGCACTTCCACAAGCCTGCTGCTGTGACTTCCTGTCTCAGAGGACCTGGATATCTGCATGGAGAGTGGAGGATACAGTTCTTGACATTTGAACAGATGAACCCGATCATGAGCATGGTGTGACCTGAACAAAGCACATAGTCACTCACCGTGGCGACGTCCTGGCTGTTGGGAGGCGACTTGTTCTCTGAATCCTCGGTCCGCTCCAGCAGAGCGGTGCTGTTCGGCTTCTCCGCCGCGGCTGGACTCTTGTGGAAGAACAAGCTTCTCTTGGGCATGGGTAGAAACCAGGGAGCCACAGAGGCCACGGAGGCAGTTGTCAAGGTGATGATGACCAGGTGGACCAGCTGAACTTTGGCCACAGAGAGCAGCAGCTGACCGGTCAGAGATCCAGCAGCTGATCCGAACAGAGCGATGCTGCGGCAGTAACCAGTCACTCTCTGGTAGTGCGCCGGATCCACCACGCTGTAGATGTACGAGTAGTAGGCCACCTCGGAGGCCGTAGCCAGTCCAAAGAAGAACTCGAGGAGCTGCATGGCCAGCACGCCCTGCGCCCTCAGCAACATGACATATGTAACCACTAAGCTGGTGGCCTGCAGCACCAATACGGGCTTATAACGCAGGAAGTCAGTGGCCAGGAAGATGGGGAACAGCAACACCAGGTAGGAATACGTCCACACTGGATAGATTTCATTCACCACCTGCAGATAAGAGATGAACATTTACATTAGTTACATTATTTCAATCTCCTCAGCATCAACACTGCTTCCCAGGGAATCTTGGGAGGGAAGTAAGACAGTAGGACATTTAAAACACCTCAAACTGTTAATCAAGTTTATAACTGACCTGATTTCAGTTTCCATTTCTAAGTTCTAGACTAGTTTGCTAGTAACTGCAACTGTGGAGAATCAAAAAGACAACAAGTTTAACCGGCAAAAAAGCCATAAACCAACCTCCGATTGTAATTATCTGTAAACTCATCTCATATTCATGGCCTACTTTATTGCCTTTGTACATGCCCTGTAAAAAAAGTCAAGTATTAAATGTATTATAAAGAAACAAAGTTTAAATATCATGTAAAACTATTTGATTTGTCTGCTAAATATTTACGCAAGATTTTGAAGACATCCAAAAGTGAATTGGCGTATTTTGTATAATCCCCAGACATGAACAGCTTTAATCACTCTGTGCGTATAAAGTAAGCTTTAGTTTGGTGTAGCCTAGTTATTCTAGACCAGTGTTTTTCAACCTATTCTGAGCCGCGGCACAATTTTTACATTAAAAAGATCAACAACCAAAAAAGTTACAAAATGACACATTTTAGCATAATACAGCAGATATGCAGGGGCGTCAAACTCAATCACAGAGAGGGACAACGTTGAGGGCCAAACAGGGTCAACATTTAATAAACAAGATAGAAGGGATATTGGACAAATAGGCTACATTCTTTTATGCATATGTGCCAGAGCTAGATGTTTGGCATCTTCTCTTGGCTGCCAGTTCATTAATATCTGGGGGTAGGTTCTGTGCTGTGGAAACCCTCACGATGGAGTGAAGGTGCATCAGTGAGACGACTCCTGTGTGGGCTTTTGTTCATCTTCATCACAGAGAAAAGCTGCTCACACAGGTATGTGCTTCCAAACAAGCAGAGCGATTGAGCAGCATGTAGGCAGAGTTGAAGCATCGTTTCGGGGATGAAGCTTGGAAACTGTGCAGCACCCTCAGAGTCATACCTTGCCTCGAGTGTGTCATTACACTGGAGGTCTATCAGCTCCATTTGGATGTGCACAGGTGCTTTTTCTACGTCAACTGCAAACGGATTGCTGAGCAGTTCAAATTTAAATTTCTGAGCTGCAAAGTCGGCAAATCGCAGTTAACTCTGTGCCAAGTGTGCCCAGTTTATCAGCAAAATGCGCAGTCGGAAACACAGCGGTGGAGACACGGTTTGGCAACACGGAAAGTGACCCATGTTTCCTTGCTGCATCTGAGTCTCCCATAGGTGCAGCTTGTCCTGGAAAGCTCTTACTGCATCAAACATGTCTGTGGTCACGCATGTCTGTGGTCACGCATGTCGGTGATCACACGTCCCCGTCCCTGAAGCTGGAGGTTTAGCGCAGCGAGATGCTTCATTATGTTGCACAAAAAGGCCAGCTCACATCGCCACTTTTCGTCCCAGAGCTCTGTGGTGTGGCGGGCCAGTTATGATAAACATGATATTTTCTCGCGGGCCGGATATAATTGTACCGACTCAAGACATGCCTCGAGTTTGACATGTCTGATATATGCTGACAATTTAATGGCAAGTCACTTAATGTGTTGATCCTTACTTGGCTTTTCATCTGGGTTATTTTGTCCAGGGCCCAGTTCAGAGTCTGCATTTTTCCTTTTCAAATATTTCTCCATCGCTGTTCGTCTTGTCACCGCAACCTCTCCCGAGCATTAATTAATTCTACTGTCTTAAATTAACACTGTCATTACTGCGCTACCTACTACCACCCACTGGCATGGAAGAGTATTTATTACTTAGCCAGCCACTATATTGCAGCTCAGACGCTCAACAATGGCAAAGTATTTGCAGCAACTAAATAATATTTTTTTGGACTGATTAAGTGAAATTGGACATTTTCCCACAGAACACCTGACGATCTCTCACACAGTGGTTGAAAATCACTGCTCTAGACCAGAGGTCCCCAACCTTTTTTGCACCACGGACCGGTTTCATGCAAGATAATATTTTCACGGACCGACCTCAAGGTGTGGCGGAAAAACACGACAAAATAAAATGATACAATCGGCATGAAAACAAATATAAAATGCATAAATAAATACAACTCACAATAACGCTGAATCAGTGGGAGCCCTGAGCTTGTTTCTCTGCAACGAGACGGTCCCATCTGGGGGTAATGGGAGACAATGACACCCGAAGTGTGTTCTTTATGTCCAGTCTACTCCGTAATTTAGTTTTGATTGCCGTCACTGCAGAACATCCTGCTTCACAGAGAGGATGTGTGAAATGGAAGCAGGGTTTTCAGTGCTTTAGTGGCGATCTCAGGATATTCAGCCTTGATTTTAATCCTAAACACCAGCAGAGTTGTTGTCTCAAACATACTTTTAAGGCCACCGTCATTTACAATCTCCAGCAGCTGATCTTCCTCTGTCGCCACATATTATGCAGTGGGCTTGGTGCATCAGAATTACTCCTGATATTGTCTGTTAAATGAAGCTTTCATTTTCTTGGAAGTTGTAGGCTATGATGTAGATCTCAGGATTGTAAGACTAGACTTAAAGTAAGGGTCAGTGGAAACAAAGCAAAGAAATGATGGTATGTTATTTTATTAATTCAGCATGGTACACAAGAGAGTGCACAGTTTTTTAGTATTTGGTAGAAAATGTGTTGTTTGCTAACTACGCATCGAGCACCTAAGTAAGGGCAATGGAAGGCAGACCTCCAGCACCATGGCACACTGTCCGGTCTGGGCTGGTGTGGCCTAAGAGGTTCAATGTGTTTTCTGTTCTTCTGTGCAATAATAATTGTGTTTCCTAATAACTGATGCATGAGAAACCATGGCAACCAAATAAAAGGGAACCAAAAACCAGCAACCATCAAATTAAATAAACGATTTGTAATTTAACTAAACAGTGAATAACGTGTGATATGAATACACTAAATTGATTTAAATTGGCCCTAGACATGCTGTTAGAAAAGAAGAAAAAGGCCGATCCTGTAACATCTGACTGTTCTCCCTCAGATGAGCAGAACCTTGAAAGTGACATTTCTGTGTCACACTTATGTTTATTATTACAGCTTGTTATCTAAGAATATGATCTCACAAAACAGCCAGTGCTTTCGTTTAGTTTACCTGATATTTTCTGAATGTTTATTATGGTAATATGATAGAATTTCTTACAAATTGTTTAAGTTGTTTGATTTTTGTTTGTTATGAAACTCACTGGTATGTTATCTTATTATACAGTTCAACAGAGAGGTCCAATGTCTGTTTCACCTCATCTCAGGAGACTTATCTTGCCATGTTTATGTTGACATTCCCTCGCTTGCTAACAACAGAGTTGCTTACAATTTGAAAACACAGCTAATGCCTTTACCTTATCGATTAATGATGTGCATATGTAAACCATTTTGAGTATTAAGTGTTAATGTTTCAATATGCCCGATTGACGACAGACTACAATGAAATCTGTGGTTTCAACACCTTAATACTGTCCACACGTCAGTGAATTTCTCTTGTCTCGCCTGCCAATGTTAACCAAAGTAACAAGTGAGATATCCAGATGATGGTACGTGTCAATCCTTTTGTTAGACTATCCTTTAGTGCGAGCCATCAACAAATCAGTGTCCCATCAACTCCTCCTGTATTCCCCTGAGCACTCTGTTCAAACGACTGCACAAAAACACTTTTCCAACTATGATACAGACTCATCCCTGACACACTTTAGCGACATGACGAGGCGAGTGTGTAAATGTTTAGTTTCTTCCACAGGCTTGGTGTTCTCACCACACAAAAACAGCCCATAAACACTTTCCTACACTAGGGGTTAATGATGTCCTTAACTAAAATCGTTATGAAATATTATTGACTTATGTTCTCACTTCTAGCGGTGAATATATACTATTGTAGTGATCTAATCTAATGATCAAGGGGAGGATTGTAATGGTCATTTTTTACCTAGTATATATTTCTACTTAGTATATATTTCTACTCAGTATATGTATATATGCATAAGTAGTTTTGCTCTGAACTTTGTTGAACTTCACCACGTCTCTGTTGTGCAGAAGAAGAATTCTCCCTCTCTGTTCACAAAGATAACTTACTGTGTTGTATGAGGATGTTCCAGCACCAAGGCCTTTGGGCCGCTGGTTGTGGTTGCTGGCCGTTTGTTGTTCATTGTTGTTCCTATCAGTCTGAGACCAAACGTCTGAGACCAAATGTCTGTAACATTGGCCATCGGCCCCCACCTTTGCTCATTCTGTATAAAGAAAGCTTGTTCACTTTTTTCTTGGTTCTTCCTCACTGAGACTGTACGCATTCTGTTGTGATGATTGAACCTTCTCTGCGCAGAGAATAAATACTTAAAAGACAACCTGGTTTTTGGTATTATGTATTTCAGCAGGAAAAGACTCATGCAAAGCGGGTATAGGAATATTTTCCACAACACCTGATGGAGGTAACCTAATTATTTTAGGATTAACCAAACACTCCAAAGGATCTGGCAATTTTTCAAGTAGCATTATTCCTTCTGTGGCCGTGTGTGTGTAAGACCGAGCCATTAGAAGACATCCAGTTGTATTATTGTGAAGCAGTCCACATAACATCAACAGGGTTTTCTAGAACTGGCTGCTAGATCTGTACAAAATGGAGCTCATTAGATCTGGGTACAGTATGTTGTTTGTTCAAGCGTAAAAGAGATCTAAATTCTCACATTACAACCCACTGCATGTAAACCAGTGGACACAGGCTTCCCTTCAACGATACATCAAGTGTACGTGAGTAAAGAAATGGAGGCAGACATCAGGGCAGAGACTGAATGATGAGGAACTGGGTTCAGCTTGACAAATGTGGTCAATGAACTGGAGCTCTGTAGTGATGCAACAAGAAACAACAGAATGAGAAGCTCACAGCTTTAGTGTGTGGTCTTGTGAAGGATTTCAGTATTAACAACATTATTAGTAGGATTAAATAACACCCCAAGTGGTGAGTAGAAGTGTCGCAATAATAATAATAATGTCAAAATATGTTAAAAAGTCACAATATGTTTATTTATGGAATGTATACGTTTACAATATTCTTACTTATAGAGGATATTATATGTTACAGTATTTTACTCACTGAATGTATTAAACCATAGTCACTAAAGGTATTAAAACACTGTATGAATAGTTTTGAGGGTCAGAAAGGGATCATTTTGAGTGAGGCTTTACAGAGGTGCAGCAGAGAACAGAGGGGTGGACAACTGACCAGCAGGTCACAGAGAGGAGGAGGAGGAGCCCAGGATGTTTTGCTACAGGATCGATCCAGGGAGGGGACAGAATTCAAATGGAGCCAATCACTGAATGACACGGGGGATCATTCAGACGTTTTAGGACAGTTTCGGACACTTTCCGGGGATATAAAAGACAATGTTCTACAGAGTGTCACCAGACCACTTCCGCCCCTTTTTTTCAGCACCTGGAATGGCCAGACCTGTGAGGAGGATGCGTGCATGTGGTCTCTGCTCTTAAGAACATTACTATATAGTTGATTTAGATTGCAAGTGTTAACTTTGTGTAGTACATTAAATTTTGTTTTGATTTTAAACCGGATCCAGTAACTTTTTGGGTGCCTGTGCTGTAAGAAGTAAACAGAGCAGAGCGTGGTCCAGCGGCCTAGCAAGCTCTCATCCTTGTCCTAGCCTTAACAGTCTGTAGGTTAACAACTGTCTTCACATCTGTGTACAGACATGGTGAGGTCCATCCATGCTGCTGTGAGAGGCTTCAGAGGGTCACTTCCTCACTACAGGGGTCGATCAGAGTACAAAGAAATTGAGTGTCCATGAGACACGAGAGGAGGTACAAGAGACACAAGGACTCTACAGACTTTAATGGATTCCTTTGCTCTCTCAAAGACTAATTTTGCACTACTGTTTTTACTTTGCTTGCTGTATCATAATGCTGCTGTAGCGAACAAATTTCCCCTTGCGGGATTAATAAAGTATCTATCTAATTAGTGGAACCTTTGCTGTTGAACTGTATGGCGGGTAAATACAGCAAATACAACTAATACATGACTCAACGTTTCGTTCATATAAAGAAGAATTAAAAAGCTCATGGTCACAAACTCAATACAATGTTTATGGGCCATTCTACCGAATTGGTTCAAAGTCAGGTTGGAAATATTTTAAAATTTTGTATGTTTTATTCCCAAAACTTTGTCCGTATATATATTGTACCATATCTAAAGTACACATCTAGTAAAAGAACCGTCAATTTTTATATTGTATTTTCAGACTGTGTTGGAATGTTTTTCCTCTCCCAAAAATTGTCACTACCGAAACATAGTAATACACTATAGTAAAAAAGTATTATTGTTAACCTGTTAAGATTGTGTTTCCTTCCCTTCTCTGAAGAGTATTTTTACAAATATTTCTTGAAGGTTTTCACAATTAAATCAATAAAAATGAGATTTGTACCAAATTTCTAAGTTCAATTTATACAATTCATCAAAATCTAAATGCAATATTTCTTTGTAAAATGCATAATACTGATTCCAGAGTTGATGATTGATACAATTGAATATACATTAAACCAATCAGTATCATAACATTTTAGTTGATAACTCAATATACTTTATTTTTTACAAAACATCCAGTGTTTCGGCAATGACTGCACTGTATTTTGTTTGCAAGGTTGTATCATATTTCCTCAACCTTATTGCTTAATCTTAACTCATAACATGCCTTAGGTTGGGAATATTACAAACACAAATGTTTTGTGGCCAATAGAATAATTTTATTTTTGAAGACAACAATTGTTCATCCAGAACCATTTAAAGTACAAACATTACTTATCAATGGAAAATTACCCAAGTGGGATCAGTAAAAGAGAACAAGAAAACATTGACAAATAACCGATATTATGTTGTACTGTATGTTTAAGGGGGTTCAGTGTCAGACACCATCGCAAATCCATTCACAAATTTAGTTTTTCACATACTGCGGTGAACACTCTTGGGCTGATCTGGACAGCCCAAGAGTGTCCAGATCAGCCCAACGTCGTGTGACGTTGGGCTGATCTGGACATGCCTGTGTGATGTTTTCTGGTGGAGGGATTAAGGCGACGACCTTGTCCACTGTGTACCAGATCTTGTCCTCTAGTCACGGTCAATAAAAGCAGTTTTGCCCAATGTTGTGCATGACTTTGACCTCAAAAGGACAGATAACGGGTACCCGTTACCTGCAGACAGATAACGGGTAAAATAAAAGGACATTGGGCGAGATATGATAAGTATTGCTTGTATTGGAATCTTATAAGACTATGAAATAAAGTTTGATTCAAAGGGAATGGGAATATGAGAACGGAAGATGGCCAAGTGAGAATGAATGGAAAGAGAGACTTTACCATATGTTTCGGTAGTGACAATTCTAGCTAACTTTGAGCATAACTAAAGAATACTAGCAAGCGGATGGCTAGCATACACGTATTTGAAGAGGTGTACACACATAAAAACATAATACTTTGCAATAAACCCCAAAAAAATTTACATAATTGAAGAGAATATGTGTTCGGTAGCAACAATTCTTAAGGTTACACGCCGATTTTCAGACTTTGGAACACATTTATATCAAAAGTATGGGATTTAGCTACTTACCATTCAGCCATGAGGGACAGGGATGCAGTGTCACTGCCTGGTCAAAAATGCAGGGGTGTGGCTAAAAACCAGACTCACCCAATGGACTAAAACTCTTGTGTTTCGGTAGTGACATGAAAACTGGGGACATGATTTTTTGGGTATAGTTTTATAATTTTAAAATTAAACCCACAATAAATCTAAATCTTACAACTTCTGTTTAAACTTAATCATAAAGATCTTTGAAATCACACCATTGAACAAAATCTAAAAATTGTTTGTTATTTACAGAAATTGAAATTTAGATGTCAGGGTTGGGTACAGCTACTTCCCAATAGAAAGTACCCTATCAATGATGATTTTGTATATATTTAGCTTATCACTATCTAATTTAATGCCTTGGGTTTAAATAGACCATAACACATTATTAGTAAATATCTATGTCTGAATACTTAATTGTTTTGTTAAATAGTTTTTCTTGTTGGGGGACAGCACTTTGAACGAATTCGGTAGAATGGCCCTCATGGTGTTAAGTTCAGATGTGACGCATGGTGGAATAAGCCGTTGGTGCTCGCTAAAGGCTAACGTAGCCTTTAGCCCAGCTAGCTAACTCACCTGAGTCTCCGTCAGATTCTTATCTGGGCCCAGAAGGTAAGCGGTGAGGAAAGGCTCCGACGGCCGGAGGTTGGAGAAGAAGCCGTACACACACAGCACAAGAGTTTGGTCGAGTACAGGCATGATGGACTCACAGACAATGTTGCCAACTATTTTTTTGGGGAAGTTGCTAGAGGCAGGTCGATTAGTTGCTAAAAGTTGCTAAATGACGTTGTGACGTCATTACGTGATGACGTCGTTACGTAAAACTACGTCATTACGTGATGACGTTATTACGTAATAACGTAAAACTGCGTAATTACGTAGACTACACAATTTTAGGCTGTACAATTTTGACTGAAACATACTGCTGCTGCTGCAGTCAGCAAACAATGATTTGCTGCGTGTCACTGTCGGGCTATCGGCTGACTCGGCTCGGCTCACGCGGTTGCTGCCCCCTCCTGTGCACGAGCTGAGCACATGCTGTTGACGTCACCCACAATGCACTTTTGCAGCCAGGCATGTGTGTTGTGGGTGTGGCTGTGTGTGTGACGGAGAAAATCTTTTTTGTGTCATTTAGAGGGAAAATGCCTGCGTGCATTTTAGCATTTGAGTCACTTTAAAAAAAGTTGCTAAAAGTGCCAAATATATTTTCATAAGTTGCTAAATTTGTTGCTAGGTGCTGTTTGAAAAAAAAGTTGCTGGGGTAGCCTGAAAAGTTGCTGAATCTAGCAACTAAGTTGGCAACAGTGCTCACAGACCGGGCTCATGTGCTTCTTCTTCGGTGGTGGTTTCTGCTGTTAAACGGCCCCCCTTTAGGCGCACTAGCGCTATCAGGTGGTCTGACGGTGGAGCAGCAGCAGAGGAGAACTATTACAAACTGTTAGGAGGTTATTACTTTCTTTGTTTTATAATTTACTAAAAATGTATGCAATAGATTCACAGCCCAACAAATAGACTGAGCAAGTCCCACAGGAGCCCGGGCCAACAGGCAGTACAGAGGGAGTGTTTGATCCCAAACCAGAAAACAGGGAAAGTAGAGGGACGATTACTGAAGATGACTTTTCTCTTTAGTTGAGTCAGACACATTTGTCTGCAATAGTTTATATTGTCAAATAAAGAGAGCAGAAAGTCATTGAAGGATTTATTGAAGTACACATCGAGGCGTGTGACAGTAAAACAATTCATTCTTGACACACTAGGTAGTGATACATCAGTAGAAGCAAGACAAACTGAAAACACGTCTCAAGCTGCAGAGGAGGGAAATTGAAAGTTGAAGTAGAACACAAAAAACATACGAGCCAACCACAAGAAGCATGAATGAAAAGGTCTGGCCATCAACACATTCAGAGGATGAAGTATTAAGACAAACAGGCATCAAGAGCTGATTTACAATATTAGGGTTCAGCCATGCCGTCTACAAAGTGCACCAGAATGAAGCAATAAGAAGCTGTGAGGCATGGGAACAGTATTGTTAATAATCAAGAAGCTTCTATCAATGCTGTCGTCGGGTGCACAGACATCTTACACACTGATGTTAGCAACCAAACAGACATACTTCCAGTAGCGGTCCAAATCCACAGATTTCAAATAATTTCTTCTGAATCTCATCAGTAGCTGAACAAGAAAAGGATGCACAAAAACAGACGACTAAAGGCAGTGAAGGGCCACAGTGTAGGGCATGGCATGCTTATTGTTTTGGATTTATGGGCCAGAACTATACGGTTCTTGCTCTCAGTAAATAAATAGCTCTGATAAACCAGCCTGTTCTGCTGGAACCAATCACAATTTTAATAACTCATTATTCTTTTTAAATGGACTCAAACAGCGAAGCAGTGCGGAATGGGGCGAGTCTTAGTAACAAGAAGTTTGTGAGCGCTCACCACATTGTGGTCACAACATCAAACTGTAGAGAAACATCAGAGGTACAGTCCAGCTTTTGGGACGAAGCTTTGTCTGCAGTCTTACCGAGGGTCAGATGAAGAGATGATATCAGGTTCATTTGTGTGTCCAGGCCACTGTTAGCCTAGCTTAGCACTGGAACTACTAGCTAGCTCTGTCAAAGGGGAAACAACTCTATTCAACCACTTGTTGTAAGATAGCAAGCTAGTTACAAATATATCCAAGTGTGTTGTTTTAACATTTGAGTTTTCCACAAGTGAAATCAAACAATACAACATGAAGATAATACACCTCTGGCTTTGAAAGGTGCACTTTTCATGCCATAGTGAGGCTAGCAACACATGTATCTCTGTACTGGAGGCACACAGATCAAACCCATACTGATCTTCTCATCTGACTCTTTCATCAGCCTGTTCCTTTAACAGACGTTTTGTCACATACCTCCAACAATCCCCATGTGCTGCACCCACGCAGTGAGTTACACAAACTGATTGTAATCAGACCAGACCTGATTTAATCTCAACACGAGGCAGAAGAGCTAATGTTTCCCATGGTGCATCAGTAGAGGCAGACCTATGAAGCTACATGGTGAAGTGTCTTGTGTAGTCGTATTCTATTGTAGGAATGACAGCCTGGACAAACTTGAGGAAAATTAGAAGATACCTGAAAGTGTCAGTTAAGGAAAACAGAGTAGAGCACGGAGGGAACAAACAACACAGTAGGCATGACGATGTAACCAACTACCTACTAGGAATATCCACACCACATATCATGAGCATGATGGGATATCTTCCAGTGTTCAAAGTGTCACCAGAGGATATTTACTAAGCCTGTCACAACACCTACATCACAACGCTGCTTATTGATTTCAGATCAGCCTTTAAACACAATCTCTCCATGAAACTGATTGGTAAACACTCACTCTGTGACTGGTTACAGAATCCGACCTAGTGGCACCGATGAGCAGCATTAGGAATAACTATACAGACCATCTTCTCTCTGATGGTCTCGTTTACTGATGGAGGTCATAAGGAGGCATCAGTATTCAAACAGTTCCTCACAGTAACTTTAACAAAGAGATCAGTGATGGATCTCTCTCACTCTGTTGACCTGTGTGGTAAAACAGTGCTGCAGAGGTTTCCTCACAGTAAAAATGTCCATTCCCTACTCCCATATTTTGTGGCTCTTAACAGGAAGGCCTTAAACTACATATTGCATGAGACAAAACTTGACCGTGCTGTTATTTAAATGTCGTTCTTTAGTAAAAAAAGGATTACACAATTTGGCTGTTTAGTGCCTATGAACAGGCCAGAACAATAGATAAAGTAAATATCCTCCCAAGTGTCCATAGTACCCTAATAACTGTTTCATCTGACTTTGGAAGTGGTTATTACCGTGAAAGGATACATATGCACTCCCAGCTCTCCTCCCCCTTCTGCCACAGTCTCAATGATCTTTTTCATCACTTCAGCATGTCTGAAAGTAAAGGTTGGATCAGCCAAAAGTTTTTAAAATAACAGTTTCAACACACTATAAATCACTCTCCTATACTAATGTTTTAAGACATCACTATACATTGTGTTTGTGAACGATTGGTGGAGGTATCGTAACTGTATAGATCTAAATAAAGACCAAAATATGAATGCTTATATTGCTCTCAAACTAAACCTGCATGTGTGCATCTAAAGAAAGAAGGTGTCTTCCTCACCTGCAGGGGTGGACGGAGCACATGGCAGGTGGAGGAAGGTGGGGGTGGTTCTCAATAGTGACCGTCTTCTTCACGTGGTCCTGGCTGATGTCCTCGTACATCTGTTCTACAGTCAGTGGTTGCCTATCCTGGAGGAGCCCACAGAAGCTTGATGAGCTTTATTAGTGCCGTGTCTACTGTACTTTCTAAAAATCACTTCCTGCAGCCTTAAGCTAAAGAGTACAAGCTCCACAGTATTGCATCTGTCCTACAATGACTTGACTGCTGCTGCTAGGGCTGTCCTCAACTAACGAAAGTCTAGGTCGACTAACACTCATACCATTTTGTCGACTAATTGATTAGTTTATTTAATGGACAGATCTGTAAAACTCTCAAAGAAATGTGCGAAAGCACCACTTTAACTCTTGGGTTTACCAGAGATGTGCTCATAAGTTTCTCAGAAATAAGTGACTCAGCACAAAAGAAGCAGAGAAACAAAGAAATGCAAGTTGACTGATACCAAAATGAGCAAGATGTGGACTTGTTGACAAAGAGGGGGCAGCCTTAAACTAGTGAGCACTACATTCTCCTATAGAACATGCTTATACTATTTCAGCAGTGCTCTCCCAGATACATACTTCATCATATCCAAAGAGCCAGAGTCGAGGGGTCTGGTAGTATTTATCATATGTGATGTACAGGTCATATGTTCTCGTCTGGAGGATGGCGTCTTCACTCCCGGGCTCTGCTCTGGCTTTAGTTTCAACCATTTTGCTGGTGTCCAAGGTGGCCTAGATGGACGAGAGAGGAGATCGTGTGACTGACGATGGGATCACATCCCACAAGAAATGACATGCTGACCTTTGAGAGCCTACCTCATCGGTTTCCAGCAGGCCACTCTCCTCGTACTCTGAAAAGGACAAGTCCAGTTAAAGGAAGAAACAAGAGGACTGCTTCATTACCGGTAGGGTAGGAGTACCTTCCATATCGGCTGCTTCTCCATCTTCATCTTCATCATCATCATCATCATCACAATATGCTGCAGATGTGGCATTCATATTCTTGTCCTAGAGGATTCAAAGGACAAGGACCCATTTTGATCTACACACTTCAGAAACAGTTGAAACTAAATGATCACGATTTCAAAACTGTTCTGAAGAAATACAATGAACATGACATCACTAAACACATTTCACAACATGACCAGGAACCAAACCTCTGAGTGGAATAAGGACATGTTCTGAGGAGCTTACTGCTGAATGATGTTCCTCAGATGGGAACAAGTCAAGTCTTTTCATTATTTACATGTATTAAATCTCGGCCAGCAGGTCCAAACCCAGAGCCCTTTGCTGAGTGCTAACCACATTATAATTAACTTTTGGAATTTTCCATTGTATTGAACCAGAATCAACACATTTATGAAGCATACCTTATTATTGTCCAGTGAAATGTCCTGTACAGCATCTGTGACTCCTAACACACCTGCTGAAACACAACAGTGTCAGGACATGTTCTTCACCATGCTCTTTCATCATTTTAATGAACTGGAACTGATAAGCAAGTGGTTTGAAAATCTGTCAAATCTAACCCATTGAATCATTTTAAATACATAAAAGTACATTTTCCCCGATGCTAAGGCCTAGTAGGGGGTCAATTTACACTGGTGGAAACCCTGCAAAAGTAAGTGCTGATTCAAGCACACTGAAGCACAACTATTACATTAGGTAGACTATATATTCTGTGAAGAAAAGTGTGATAACTCAATGTGTTAGTGGATATGTTGTCCTCTGTAGATCTCTGCTGGTACAGCACTGTTTCTTGCTCTGTTTTTGAGTTTTTATGCTGTGTTTTAAAGACAGCGAATAGAAATGTTGAAATATCAAATCGGTCCAACATGGGTTTCATAACAATGGAGAATGGACAAGATATTTATGCCATGTATGGATGTTGAGATGGTTTCGAACCTGAGTTGTGGTAAGTGTCCACCCAGCCCCCATCTCCATCATCCTCCTCTATGATGGCCTCCAGCTCGTCTGAGTACTCCATCTGTTTACAGCGCTTGTAACAGGGAACTGGCAGACCGCACACACACACAGTCAACACACAAAGAGGAAGTACAACATGTTAGCCAGTAATGTTGAATGAATGTCTAGATACCAACAAGGTAACTTATCTGAATGATAGCAGGGGTTTCCGAAAAAAAATGTTTTGGTGGCGGCCAAACTTAACTTTTGAATGCTTAAGACTCAGATATGAGGCTGTATTACAGCCGGATGATGCAGCGTATGTAACTGTGCTATTGCACAGTACTAAGGGAAGTGAGGACAGAGACTCTAGAAGCTCACACAATGAACTGAATACTACTTCATGGAACACCGGCTTGCTCTCCATTGTCAAGTGTCTTTGCGTACTTGAGTGATGTCGAAGAAAATCACAAAACCGTATCTTTACAAAGAAAATCCTTCATTAATGGAGGCTGGATCTTGCCTTTAAAAATAAATCAATATTTCATTGTTTAAAAATAAGCAATTATAAAGAACAGAAAACATTCAGTCGAGGAACTTTAAAATAATGTACTTTTCAATGTTTACATGCTATAATTACAGTTATTTGCAATCCACACTGTGATTTAAAGATGCTTTCCTTTCATGTAAAAACGTGCAGCCAGTGTGCAATACAGATTAAATTCATTCACACTCGTGGAAATTTCAGAATTTATGTGGAACTGGAGAGAGTTCTTCATATTAAAAATACAAATTGTTGATGTTACAAAGTGAGTGGCTCAGAGGAGTTGATGATTAAATCCCCCTCTTACCGTTGCGTGTCAGGAGAAACTGTTTATCCTGGGGCAAATATGGCTTCACCTTGACTTCTTCCCCACTGGCCCTGAAGGGACATGGAACCACAGACAGAGAACACATGGTTTGTCCTTACTTTATATTTGACTACACCCACAGCAAGTTTAGCTTTTATAAACTAATGTTTTGGGTTTGCTTTCCTATTTATTTTAAAAGAACAGTGTGTATCATTTAGGGGGATTGATTGTCAGAAATGGAATATAATAGTCATAACTATGTTTTTATTAGTGTATAATGACCTGAAGCTAAGAATCAAAGTGTTTTTGTTGTCTTACAAAAAGCCATATACTGCATATCTATATAGGGAGCAGGTCGTCTTTCACAGAGTCCACCATGTTGCACTGCCATTTTTCTACGACAGCCCAGAGAGGACAAATACTGGTTCTCTCTCTCTCAAAGAGAGAGAGAGAGAGAGAGAGAGAGAGAGAGAGAGAGAGAGAGAGAGAGAGAGAGAGAGAGAGAGAG